GAACTTGTATGGAGATTTTTCCATCTACAGATTTTTCCCTGACCTTCTTTTCTCTGTAAATTGAGGGTGCACACTATTGCTGAAAAACACAACCACTACTCAGCAGTCAGATGTCCGTATGCACAAAGACACAGATCCCTAAACAAGACCATATCTGCAGATGAAACTTTTTTTTGTAGAAGCATTTTTTTTTATTTGACTACACCATGTTATGTACGAGAAGCTGCAAAAGCGCAAGTGGAATGTACAAAACATGGTGACATTAATTTTTAAGTAAATATAATGGCCGATATATTGCGTCGCCAAAAATGATTGAGGTCATGAACATATATTGCGCGATAAGTCGATATATTGATTATTGCGACAGGCCTATGTGCAGTTACTTCACTAAGTGTTCGCACGATTTTCACCTGCTGGATGATTAGAAAAACTCTCATAGAGACACGAGGGCTTGTAAGGAACCACTTAGCAACACATTACAATTCAGTCTGAGCACCTTTGCAACCGCAAAACAGTAACTATGAAGGGCGGAGCTTAGAAGAGGGTCAGATCTCTTTCTAGTAAGTCTTCATTAGTGTCTGAATGTGTCATGAGGAAACACTAGAGCCGGTCGACTGTATTTTCCCATCTGACAAAGCGTCCTTTGAGAGGAAGCCGAGTGTGTTTTGATTGGTAAATCAGGTGAATGGGCTGCTCATCCTCTCTCTCTGTCTGTCAGTGTTCAGGAGGAGCGGCGTCATCATGGCCTCGATCTCGCAGTGGTACGCGGGGAAGAACGTGCTGATCACCGGAGCCACGGGCTTCATGGGGAAGGTGCTGGTGGAGAAACTGCTGCGCTCCTGTCCCGACGTCAAAGCCCTCTACATCCTCGTCCGGCCCAAGGCGGGTCAGTCCATGTCCGAGCGCGTCCAGGACATGATGAAGTGTAAGGTGAGACTCACAACGTGTTTGTGTCTGTTTGCTTTCTGACATTTATTCACCATCTTTGAGTATCAATATGATTTTAAAAGTAGTAGTTCTCTATAAAATTACATACTATTATCATTATTATTATTATTATTATTATCTTTTTATGATGATGATTATTATTTTGACTAAATGATGTTAAACAAAATAAGATCTATGACTTTTGTATTAAAATATATTATTATATTATTATTATATTAAATATATATATATATATATATTTTTTTAGGATTGTTATTATTATTTCATTAGGATTATAAAAAATACTGAATAAAAATATTAAACAAAATAAGAATAAATTATAATTGTTGTTATAATTTATTATTAATAATAATAGTAATGATAATTGTTTATTAATTAATTAATTATTAATATTACTGTTTATAATTATTATTAATATTAGTTTTATTAATATTACTAAAATACTAACAAAATAAGAAATTACTGTTGTATTAAGAATTTATATAAATGACTGAAATAATAATAATAGTAGTAATAATAATAATAACAATTATAATATAATATAATAAAATGAAACATTGTTAAATATAGTAAAATAATGTTACATAATGTTAAATTATAATAAAATTAAGGATAATAAAAATAATATTAAATAATACAACTGTAATAACCGTAACAATAATGTTGTTGGTGTTTTCATTATGATTGTTATTACTAAATAAAAATATTAAACAAAGTAAGAAACTATTATCTCTTTATAAGAAACTATATATCTTAATGGCTAAAATAATGACAATAATAATAATTATTATTATTTTAGCCATTGATGTATATTAAATAATATTAAATAATATACCTATAGTAATAGTAATAATAATGTTGTTGTTTTCATTATGATTTTTATTACTTATTAAAAATATTAAACAAAATAAGAAATATTACTATTGTATTATGAAAAATAATAATAGTAGTAGTATTTTCCAGTTCAACTGTAAAATTACAGTACTAATATTTCTGACTGTCTTAATGTCTTTATTTTCTTAATTCTCAAATATTAAACCATCAAACTTTTAATTTGGCAGAAAACCACAGGGTTTTGTTGATAACAGCCAGTTCATAAGCACTTCTTATTACAGCTTTGAAAAGATAGTTAATAAATGACATTTATTTAATTAAATTTCATCCCCTTATCATTTCAGGGTTCGTTTCTATTAATCGTGCAGCTCTTCTTTGTCATCAGAAACAGTGTATTCGGCGCACTTTAAGACATTTGTGACCTAAACCTAAAACATTGTACTTTTCTTCTTTTCTCGCTTTTCAGACAAAAGCCCCATGCCACGTATTGTGTTTTTGTCATTGGATATCTCAGTCTTTGTGATCGGATGACATCTGATCGCGTCCTAACGTTCAGTTAACCGCGTGGAATGTGTGTTGATCCTTAAATAGTTAGTTACGTCAGACCGAATGCATCTGTGTTTGCTCATACGCGGTCATCGGGGTTTATCGCTATTGTTTTCCCTGAACTGGATCCTCTGGAAACGCTGGGAGAAGTTCATGTGCTGCTTTCCCTCGGCCGACATTGTAAAACGCTCTTTGATTGTTGCCATGGCAACCGCAGCACAAGCGCCGTCCATATGAGTTCTCGTTCAGAAGTCGAGCTGTATTTCCATGCGCGGCTGATCTCCTGCCTCCAGCGCTGTGCTGAAGGTGTGGCTTCATTACTCCAGGCTGATGAAGCTGATGAAGCAGGGATAGAGTAAGGCTTTGCCACTGCTGCTTTCTTTCTGTGGTGATGAGTCACATCCGGAGTAATGGAGAGTGAGAGGACAGGAGTAAATTTTTTTTTTTTTTTTGTAATATTTATTTGTTTGTTTGGTTGTTTTGTCTATAGAGTTTGTCTATTTAGTAAATTATGTGTATATAGTTTTTAAATTATTTTTTTTCTCCAGTTTTAGTCAATTTAGTATATTTAGTCAACCTAAATAAAAATGACAAATGTTGCCTTGGGAGCTTTTTTATAGTTTGTTTTCAGTTCACATTTATTTTATTTCTAGTAGTTAATGGTTTATTATGGTTTTACTTTTGTTTAAATGAGCAATATCACTGGAGTACGAGAGCGATACCGGCTCTATATCAGCGGCTGTGATTAGGGGTTATTAGTGAGAAATAATGGGGTTATAAGAGAGAAACAATGCGGCAAGACGTGCATCCAAGTGAGAGAGAGAGATTGCGAAGCTAGACGTTTCTTCTTATATTAACTAGCATACTGTACGATTAGCTCAGCGAATAATTAACAAAAAACATAGACCCGGCTAGAACAAGCGGAGTGATACAAAATTGTGAAAGGGCGTTGCTGTAGCGATACCAGTACAATATCTCACGGTTCTCAACCAATCAGATTTGAGAACCAGAACGAACTGTTGTATAAATCATTATAGTTAATTTAATCTGAGTAATGTTCATAAAAATGCATGTAAAACGAGTAATGTTGTATTGGTTGAGTTTGCTGAAGTTTCAGCAGTTTGATCTGGTCTGTGACGGACTGATGTGAGATCTGGACTCGAGCCAGAACGAAGCTCAACTCTTATGAGACGCACATCAGCATTATGGGTCATCTGACCTCTCTGACCTCTGATAGAAACCTCATTAAATCGTGTGTGTGTGTGTGTGTGAGTGTGTGTGTGTGTGAGTGTGTGAGTGAGTGAGTGAGAGAGTGTGTGTGAGAGTGTGTGTGTGTGTGTGTGTTGTAGATGTAAGGAATGCTCAGACGCTCAAACAGGCAGATTGTGTGTGTGTTTGTGGAAAGAAAATCAGATGTGGGAAGCTATTCAGTCTCAAACAAATGTGTCTATTGTTTTGTCATTTAAACAGCCTTTCACCAGATTCTGTGCTCTCGTCTTTAAATATTTAAACAGATAATTATATAAAAGAGATAAATAATTAAAGAGATAAATAAATATATATATATATATATATATACACACACATACACACAAACACACACATATATAATATAATTATTATTAATCTTATAATTATTAGATGATCAAATATATATATATATTATTTAGGTATTTAAATATAATTAAAAAAATATAATCATCCTCATTAATCATTAATATTATTATAATTGTTGCTATTATATTATGAGATTACACATATATACATTCCCTCCTTCACTCGCTCCAGTCTAATGCGCTTCTGCTTTCTGTTTGCTCAAACGCGTGAGTAAGAGCCTGTGTGTAGTTTGAGGGTGTGTTTGTGTGTGTTTGGCCATGGCAGTGAAGGAACTGAAGGAGTATTGTCTCTCTCTCTCTCTCTCTCTCTCTCTCTCTCCCCCACTTACACACAATCAGCTTATTTGTGCCAGCAGGCCTGGTGGAGACTGGCACAGACAGACCGCCGTCCCACAATGCACCGTTCGCTCTTTCCACCACAGAGAGAGCAAATGTTTACAGTGGTCGACCTCAGCGAACCCCTGACCTCAATACAGTGAACCTGGGCCATCCTTTATCTGCGTGTCACTTCCTTTCTCGTACAGTGCAGCTTTAATCGATGAGTCTGAGCTGTCTGACGATGTTTCCAAATGTTCTGGTATGAACTTTTTCAACTATCAGCACCAGTGTTATTTTAGTTACTATTATAAATACTATTATAGTTTATATTAATATTTTAAACTTTTTATTTTTATATTTTCAGTTCTTATTTCATACAAACTTATATTAACTTTATTATTAATTACTTAATCATTTTTAATAATTAAAATAATTTTTAAATCATTATTTTTATTACTATTTAGGTTTAATTTTTCTGGTTAGAAATTTTATTGCGTCAACTTAAACTTTCAAATTTCAGTATCTAATTCGCTGTTTTTCACCTAATATTTGTTTTATTTAATTAATATTTTATTTAATTTCAGCTTTATTTCTATTAACAATTTTTTTTATTATTGTTTTAGTTTTAGAATAACCCAGATACTGTTTAAACTAGATACTGTTAAATAGTATTATAGATTTTTTTTTATTGATATTTAAATTTATTTTTTTTACAAATTTTATGTGCTTTTGGATTTTTTAAAGCTATTTTAATATTATTATTTAGGTTTAATTTATTTTTATTTTTATTTAAATTTTAGTTTTAGTTCAGTTTTCTTTTTCCTATTTTTAGTGCTTCAAATAATACTTTCAAATTTCCGTTTATGTTTTTCACTTAATTATGTTTCATTATATTTCAATGAACAACATTTTTTTAATTTTTGTTTTGGATAATGCTTTAATTAGTGTTATTTTAGTATTATTTATATACTAATTTAGTTTTATTAATTTTTTTGAATTAGCTTTTATTTTATAGTTTCAGTTTTTATTTAAATTTTTGTTAAATTTTTAGTAATTTGAGTGTGTGTTTTGCCATTTTTTAAATTAATTATTTAATTTTAATACTACTAATTAGTTTACATTCTTTTTTATTTTAGTTTTAAATCAGTTTAAGTTTTCCAGTTATAGTGCTTAACATTTTTCACTTAAGATTTCTATTTTATTAGATTTTTTTTCATTTAGTCTAGCATGCATTAGTGTGTGTTTGAGGGCGTTTGCTCTGGCAGCGCTGCTGCAGCATATGGAGCTTCATCCTATGCCAGCATGCGGAGTGTGTGTTGTGTTTTTGTTGCCCGGAGACACAAACCGCAGCAGGAAGTTTGGCTGAAGCGGCTGCGCTCGTTTCCTTCATTTACTGTATTTCTGAAACACGTCCACAGGCCTCACGAGCGATCCTGTCTCTCCGCGGCCCTCCTGACACGAGCACATTTCTCCTGTCTAGTTTAGTGTGTCTTGACCTTTTAAATGCTTTTCTGTCCATCCAGCGTCGTCTGAACTCTCTCTAAATCTGTGTGTGTGTGTGTGTGTGTGTGTGTGTTGGCTAGACTGCTCTCATGGCCCATATGTTGTCTGATCTGTCTAGTAATTGGAGTTAATGGCTGTTATGGCCAGACTCATGCGTTCAGATGATATCATTAGAGCTTTATTCCTGTAGTATTTGCATGTTGAAGTGTGTTTAAGTCATGCAATTTCATTTGCATTTGAAAGTCCTCTGGTTGTAAAAGACAAGATAGTTGCTTATTGCTGTGCTTGATATTAGCCAAATAAGTTATGTCTTGTTATGGTGTCTGAATGGGGTTTATGTACTCTCTAAATGATTTTTTATTTTTTTTTTGCAAAAGAAATCTTATATTATTAATAATTGTATTATTGTTTTATTATAGTATTTATACTATTATAGTTGTAAAATTTTGAATTAGCTTTTATGTTATAGTTTCAGTTTTTATTAAAATTTTTGTTTGGTTTTAATTATTTCGTTTTTAAAATTGTCATTTTAATTATTTTTTTAGTATTAGCATTTAGATTTTTTTTTTTTCAGTTTTACTTTGTTCAATTTTAGTTTTCCAAACAAAAATATTTTTTATTATTTTTTTATTTGTGGTTTTAATTTGTAAATGAAATTTATTTTATTAATTTGTTTTTATTATTGTTTTGATTTTATTGTTTTTTATTTTATTTTTTAATAAATCTATGATTTTTTTGTAATGTTAAAGTTTAATATTTAAAAAAATTAAAAAGAATAATTTAATTCATATATACAATATTTTTAAATTATTCAACTATACATTTACTTTTTTTAAATGTATAGTTTACTTTACAAAAAATAACTCGTATAGCAACGGTTCTAACTGACATTTAGAAATTTCTCAGTACTTGTGCAAGAAAGTGTGTTTCTGTTGAAACGGGAGTGAATGTGTACATCTCACACCTTTGACAACATCTTGTCTAAACAAACACATTGCGAAAGCAAATAAAATCATCCGTGTCTCGACACGCAAGCAGACTTTACAACACGCCTTGATCTCCCAGACAATTTCACATCAATTCCTGGGGAAAAAAAAGTCCGGAAGAACTGGATTGTGACGTGTTTTACAAGCTCTCGTGCATCAGGACGGTTTAGATGTGGTGTTTAAACGGTTCTGATTATTTGCATACTGAATGTGGATTGGTCCTCATTTACACTGATGACTGTAAAGCAGCTCTGTTTCATTTACACCTCAAACTATTAGCCTAGTTCTGTTGTCATATGATGTCTAAATGGGGTTTATGTTCTCTCTAAATGATTAACAATTTTTTTTAAAATATTGTTTTGTTTTTAATTTGTAAGTTAAATTATTTTTATTATTTTTATTATTGTCTCTTTGTTTTATTTGTTTATTATTTCTAAATTAGTTTTGTTTACTCATTTGTATTTGTTTATGTAAATGAAATTTATTTGACTTTTTTAGCAGTTCTTTTTGTTTTTTACTTCTAAATGAAATTTGATTTATTATTTGTATTTTATTATTATTTTCTGTTTTTATTTGAAAATTAGGTTTATTTGATAATTTTTTATTTTTTTTTAAATTTGTAAATGAAGTTTATATGATTCATAATTTAAATTGTATTATTGTTTTCTGTTTTATTTGTTTTTTGTTTTTTTGTAAATGAAAGTTATTTGATAATTTGTGTATTGTTTTTTTGTTTTGTTTTTTTTCTTTTTAATTTGTAAATGAAATTTGACATTCGTTTTTATTGTTTTTTGTTTTATTTGTTTTTAATTTGTAAATTTAAATTGATCTTGTTTTTCTTATTGTTTTTTAATTTGTCATTTAAATGTATTTAATAATTTTTTATTAATGTTTTTATTAATTTATTTTAATTTGTAAAGGAAATTGATTTGATTCATATTTTTGGGTCAACATAACATAAAGCAGCTCTGGCATTTCATTTACACCTTAAACTTATTATTTTGATCATTTTTTTTCTCAGCAGTGATTCTCAAAGGTTGTCAAGTAATACAGTATTTTATATAACTACCATAATGTATGAATAATTTAGAGAGTGTTATAAATGACAGTTTCATGTTATTGCATTGTTTATTTTTGATTTGTAAATGAAATGGTTTTGATTAATATTTTCGGTGCGACTATGAAGCAGCTCTGGCGTTTCATTTACACCTCAACCTTTAACTTATTATTTGGATGCCTTTCAACCACTGTTTCCTTTTGGAAATGCTAATCTGCTTTTGGATAAATATGCATTCAGAAGCGTGACTCGACTGAGAGGCTCAACAGCTGTCCGCAGCGTCCCGCAGCATCTGTCTGGTCCTCGGCAGGTGCCTGCTGCTGGGGTTACAGGGGGTCAGATGTTACGTCTAGAAATGATTCTGATTGGCTGTGGCTGCAGGAACGTGCCACTGCCAGACCCTTGGAATTGTGGGTAACATAAGTCAGCACACGTGTGTCAGAGAGGACACCGGTCTCTGCCAATCCTCTTTTGATATCAGATTACAGAAATCACAGCGCATTTGTCATCTATGTATCTGCGTCAAACACGCCGTGCTGAATGCCTGTGCGTTTGGATACGGTCGAAGAGTATCTTATTTTTTCAGTCTGCAGTTTTCTCCATTACGTAAACGCTGAAGTCTGGGACATAATATGATGAGATTTGTCATTTGCATCTTGCGGTTTGGCCAGCTGAAAATTACATAATGTCTCTGAACGGGTGGATCCTCATGTAAACGTACAGATCACATTTTCCACAAAATCAAAAGAAATGAGATGAGAAATCGCATTTGTCAAGAAAAGCATGAAATTTATGCCTGTTTTTAGGACCATGCATTGTAACGTTATTTACATGGGCAATTAAAAATGAAGTACAATTACTACAATTACTGGTGATGCTCCTCAGGCCTGTCCAGACTGTCGCCGAGACTTTCAGCTTTTCAGAGTAGCTTTTATTAGCCACTCTGATCTCCTTTGTTAGTCTGTTCCTGGCCTGGTTATACAAGATTTTATCCCCACTTCTGTATGTATTGATTGATTGATTTTTGTTTGTTTTTATTGTAGTTATTTTCAGTGGTGATTTTCATTAGATTTAATGCACTTTTTAAATTTAAATTAGCTTAATTTTATTTACTACCCAAATTCCTATTTTTGTAATGTTTATTTGTTTTGTTTGTTTATTTATTTATTTATTTATTGTTATTTTCAATAGTGATTTTTATTATATTTAATGCACTTTTTAAATTTAAATTAGCTTAATTTTATTTACTACCTAAATTCCTATTTTTGTCATGTTTATTTGTTTTTGTTTATTTATTTATTGTTATTTTCAATGGTGATTTTTATTGTATTTAATGCACTTTTTTAATTTAAATTAGCTTAATTTTATTTACTACCCTAATTCCTATTTTTGCAATGGTTGTTTGTTTGTTTGTTTATTCTCAATGGTGATTCTCATTAGGTTTCCAAATAATACCGTGTTTATTTCATTTAAATTAGTGTAACAGTAACATACTGCCTTCATGTATGAATACTTTAGAGAGCATGAAGAATGATAATTGTCATGTTTTCTGTGGCTATAGTTATTCTGCATCAGTGACGTGCGCGTCGGTGTGTGTGTTGCAGCTGTTCGACCGCGTGCGTGAGGTTAATCCTGACTTTCATCAAAAGATCATCCCCATCAGCAGCGAGCTCACGCAGCCCGGCCTGGCCATCAGTCCAGAGGATGTACAAACACTCACTTCCTGTATCAACATCGTCTTCCACTGCGCCGCCACCATCCGCTTCGATGAGCCCCTGAAGTGAGTCACACTCAACACCAGTCTTAAGTCGCTGGGTTATATTTGTAGCAATAGTCAAAAATACACTGTATGGGTCAAAATTATAGATTTTTCTTTTATGCCAAAAATCATTAGGATATTAAGTAAAGATCATGTTCCATGAAGATTTTCTGAAGGATCATGTGACACTGATATATGCTGATAATTCAGCTTTGATCACAAGAATAAATTACATTTTACAATAAATTCACATAGAAAACAGCTATTTTAAATTATAATAATTTTTCAAAAACAAATTTTTTTTTTTGATCAAATAAATGCAGCCTTGGTGAGCAGAAGAGACATTAATAAATCTTACCGAACCCAAATTTTTGAATATTAGTGTATGATGAAACCGTAGCTACACTTTTAAAAGAAGGAAGGGAAATGTAAGAACAGGGTGTCCGTGGGGTCTTAAAAAGTAATAAAAGTTGATAAATCAATTTAGAGAAAATTAAGGCCCTTAATAAGTATTAAAAAGTCTTAAATGCCATTTTCCAAGGTATTCAATTTTGTATCATCTTTTCATTATGTATATTTGTACGAATAGTGGGGTTCTGTGTTGTTTGGAATCCCGCAAGATTTGACGTCATCTGTTACGGCGCTCACCGACTGACTGCGCCGCTGCGTGATAGCACGGGGCTTGTTGATCCCGCTCACGCTGAATTTCTGACCATAATCGCCCGCTCCCATCCGCTCCTGCCATTTTTGTCCGCTCCCGCAAACATTCTAATATTGTATATTATTGTACATTCTACCTGTAATAAAACTGTGCTAAATGTTTGGGCCACACTAGTGCATTTGAGCTGTGTTTATGATAAATGTGCATAACAGTGACAGTAAAATATGTATTTTAGGGATGGAAATGACATTTTTATATTTAGGGCATGGTAATTGCGCTACTTTGGGCTGGGTTTTTTTTTTACTGGCATGGGCTTGGGATGCACAATTAATAGTGCTATAATGTATAAACAACTATAATGTAATAGTTGTGATCATTCAGACATGATCAGGTGCAGTACTGACACTCTGTCAAGTCTGCATCAAATCAAGCACTCTGTAATCACAGCTAAACTGTCTGATCAGTCAGGTGTTTGTCATGAGAAGTGCTCCACAAAACAGCTATGGTTTGCAGACAGTTATAAGAGTTGATGTTACAAATACATCTTTTGAATATACTGTGTGAACTCATTGCCCCGTTAGCTCGGAGAGCTTTATTTTCCCTCTTCTATAAGTTTTGTCAGTTGTTTTGTTTATTGGTCTAATTCTTGTTTCTTGGGTTGCATTGGGTTAGTCTTAATTCTCTTGTGCTTCGTTCCACACTTCTGCATTATGTTGTATTGATAAGGAGTTATCACAAAGTAAGTCTGTTTAGTTGCGCTATCTTACAATCAATATA